AGGGGCAGAAGGAGGCATCGATCCCATTTCCTATGATATTGCAGTGGCACACCGAGAAGAACAGCCATTGGGACTATAATAAAATAGAACTGGAAATTCAAGAGGCTCAAGTAAGATTGAAGGATTTGTATTTTGAATATTTACTTGTATTTAGATATCGTTTAAGAGATTTGCTGAATCGTTTAAGCTTTACTTCAGTGGAATGATGGTATGGGATCTGTTGATTAAAAGATTAAATGATTTTGTAAATTTTTTTTCTTATTACAAGGAGTGGTCCATCCGTTTGTCACTCCTACTAGAGGTGAATTCCAGATGGATTACGTTATGTCCTTCGTACCACTAGACAATGTTTAGGATGAGAGTATAGACGACCTGACTCGGGACCTAGAAGGAGTACCGCATCTGACTACAATTGAAGGGTCGCATGTGGAGCATGTTTTTGAGGCTGAAGGTGTAGCACCTGAGACAACTGATTTTGCCGTTGAGGATGAAGATATAGATGATCTGATCCGTACGCCTCCTTCCAATTTTCAAACCCGTACACTAACTATCAATTTGCCAAGGCACACGTAGTTTGAAGTGGTGGACCTTCTAAACAGCCTTTATAAGTTTGACATTTTGAATACTGTTTGTGAAAAAGTTGAGAAAATGGAAGAGAGGATGTAGAGAGTTGAGAAGAAACTTGATCTAGTTACGGGAATGGTTGAAGTAAAACCAAAGAAAAGAGAGAGTCGGAAAAGCAAGCATGTCAAATCTCCGTTCACCAAAATAAGGTATAATAAGAGAAGGAAAACTAGGAAAGACAAAGAGGGAGTTGGAGAGGATGATAAGGAGAAAGTTGATCGAAGTGAGGAAGTAGGTGGAAGTGGTGAAAAAAATAAAGGGGTTAAAGGTCGATTTATTCAAGCCAATAGACGAGAAAAAGAAGAAATCATTTTATGCGTATTACAATAAGGAAATAATTTACATATGGATCAAGTGCAAGATCGAAGATTATCCTCGGAAATGGTTTGATAAGATGCTAAGAATGGGTTGCCGGGTTCACGACTCGGTGACTTATTTTTCCCATAACGTATCCTGTTATCGCTTAAGCAATCTATTTTTTCTAAACAGATCGCTTGTAGAGAACAAGATTGATTGATTGATGTAGCACATTGATGATGTGTTGACACTTATAATGATGAGACAAACTATTTATGCTGATATCTATGATTAGTAATGTGCCATATCTGATGTGTCTTTCGGCCAGAGCGCAGAGGATTTTAAAGGTGTCATTGCAGATTATCTGTTTGATGACAGGATGTTTTAGTATGTCAGGGGGGAGAGGCTAAAATATGACAATAGTTGGGCAAAGGTAAAAGGGGTATACTGCATCTTGAATGTGAAGCAAATGCATTAGATAATGTTGTTTGGCTATTGGGCGAGGGCTTGGTGCAGATTCTCCCTACAACAACTCCAATCAAGAATTTGTAAAAAAACAATCCATATTAGATTTAAAACACATATAATACAAAAAAAATAACAACAAAAACATATTAATATTTTGGTTGTTAATTTTAACCCTAAACTTCTAATTCTATAACATTTAACCCATTTTTGCTGTTGTAGTTGAAATTAAGTATGCCACGTCAGAAATTCAAACTGAAAGAAAAAATCAAAGGGCCCGTTTGTTTTGTTATTTTGGAAATAATATTGGATAGTTGAATAGAGTGAGTATTACAAGGTAAAATTTAAAAATTAACAAAAAAACCCCCTAGGTTTGCTAATTTAACTAAATACCCCAATATATAAATTTTTTGTAAAATGACAAAAACACCCCCACCCACCCATAATGCTAGATTTCGGCCGCTACCGTCGAAATTTGGCCAAAAAATAGAGTTACGATGTAGACCGATTGGATCTGGTGGGTAGGGCATCAATATGACCTTTTCCGGCCAGATCCACCACGAATCTGACTAGAAAAGGCTAGATCTACGGTCAATCTGGCCGTTGATGGTCGCAAAAGTCCAGATCTGGCCGTCGTTTTTGGTCAACGATGTCTATTTCTTTGGTTGTTCTGACAGCCAGATGGTCAGAAAAGACCAGATCGGTAAATTATTGGCCAGTTTTGATCGTTTGTAGGCTGTTGTGACAGATTCTGGCTACCACTGACGGTGGTTGCCAGAATCTTTCAACTATGGGTGGGTGGGGGTGTTTTTATTAATTTTTAAACTTTTTTTAGGAATATTTAATGAAATTAATAAACTTAAAAGGTCTAAAAGTAATTAAAAAAACATACTAATATTTCCTAAATAATTAAACAAACAAATATTCTGAAAATATGATTGAGAATATGGATAAGAATATTAAACCCAAAAATATTTTCGCGCCCATTTTCTTCGTTGTCTAGGTAGTTAAATTGTCCCTAAAACTAACAACAATCTCAAGATAACGGAGAAATCTCACCAAAACAAGGTAATTGTTCACGGACCCATATTTCCCGACACTGTCAACCAAATCCGATCTCCACCCTTCAGATTTGAGATACTTTTGAGTCGTGAACCTGTCTTCAAAGTTTCAGCTCAATCGGACCACTAATGACCTTCCATCGGAGTGCTTCATGAAGACTGGTCGGAGTAGAGTGAAACTGAAATTTTCTCTCTTTTCCACCTTTTCTTTCGTCTCTTTTTCGGCAGCAGCTCTCAGCTTTTTTCTCATCACCTTTTTTTTTTTTTTTTGGGGCGGGATTCAGAATATTCCTTTGTTGATACCCTAACACTAAGACAACAAACTTGGGCTTCAACAAGAACGTGCCTTTTCAATGATGCTTGGGCCACCTTCCACATGAGGGAACCAAAGCCCAACGTGAACTTTACACAAAGTATATTGGAGTCGACTGGTAACTGCGATAGTCTCCACATTTCTTTTTCAAAATTAAATTCATTGGAGGCGTCAAAATTGACCAAAAGAAAAGTCTCTAACGCTTCAGTGATGGAAAATTGGAAACCATAAAACTTGTAACCCTTAACAAAGGAAAAGTATCAGAAGAATGGCATGGTGGGTTTTGTGCAGTAACTAGATTTCAAAATGATAAATGAATGTAACAGGGGGATAACATGGGCTTCGTTTGGTTGCCAATTGGGAATACTACTTTTAGTATTCCCAAAAAAGTTAAACAGTAAAATACCCAAAAACTTTGGGCTTCGTTTGGTTCAAAATTTGGGGGTTTTGGGAAAAGTTTTTTGAAAAAAGTTAAAAAAAAGTTGAATTGGGCGGGTATTACGATGTAGGATTTATAAATTAATAAAATGTCTCCTATGTTTTTTTTTTACAAAATACCCCCTATAATAAAACATTAAAAGTTAACAAAAACACCCCCAATCCACCCTCAAATACCCCCAGCCGGCCACCACCACCGGAGGTGGCTGGAGTCGCCTTATCGGCGTATAACCGACTGGATCTTGCCAGTCATGCGCCGATATGGCCTTTTCCGGCCATATCCATGGTGGATCTGGCCTGTAAAGGCCAGATCTGGCTGTATTTGCTCTCAACAACGGCTAACAAATGATCGTCGTTGATGGTCAACGACGACCGTTTGTTGGTCGTCATGACCGACTGTTACGGCCAAAGATCTGGCCGTCAACGGTCAGATCTTTGTCCTTAGATCTAGCCTTTTCCGACCAAAGCCACCGTGGATCTGGCCGAAAAAGGCTAGATCGGCGCACTAGATTCTAGCCATTTTCCGGCGGTGGTGATCGGAATCTGGTAAATGTGGATTGTTGGGGTGTTTTTGTAATTTTTTAAAAAACGTTTAGGGGTATTTAATTAAATTAACAAATTTAGAGGGTTTAAAAAAAATTGAATAATATTGAAAGTAGTATTCCCAAAAATGAGAGTTTTTGGGTATTTTACTGTTTAACTTTTTTGGGAATACTAAAAGTAGTATTCCCAATTTTGAACCAAACGAAGCCCTGATTTTTGGGAATACTACTCTCAATATTATTCAACTTTTTTTAAATCCCTTAAATTTGATAATTTAATTAAATACCCTTAAATATTTTTCTAAAAATTGCAAAAACACCCCAATAATCCATATTTACCAGATTCCGGCCACCACTGCCGGAAAATGGTCGGAATCTGTTAGGATGATGCACTACCGGCTGAAGCTGGCCAGTAGTGCGCCGATCTAGCCTTTTCCGGTCAGATCCACGGTGGATCTAGCCGGAAAAGGCCAGATCTAAGGCCAAAGATCTGGTCGTAATAGTCGGTAACGACGGCCAACAAACGGTCGTCGTTGATGGTCAACAACGACCATTTGTTGGCCGTCGATGACGAGTAAATACAGCCAGATCTGGCTAGAAAAGGCCATATCTAAGACCAAAGACAGTCAGATCTTTGGCCGTAACAGTCGGTAACGACGGCCAACAAACGGTCGTCATTGATGGTCAACAACAACCGTTTGTTGGCCGTCATTGACGAGCAAATACGGCCAGATCTGGCCGTAGATCTGGCCTTTGCCGGCCAGATCCACCGTGGATCCGGCCGAAAAAGGTCATATAGGTGCACGACCGGTAAGATCCAGCTGGTCATGCGCCGATACGACGAATCCGGCCACCCTCCGGCGGTGGTGGCCGGCTGTCCGTATTTGAGATTGGGTTGGGGGTGTTTTTGTTAACTTTTAATGTTTTATTATAGGGGGTGTTTTGTAAATAAGCAAATATATGGGGTCTTTTTTCTAATTTATAAATCCTACATCGTAATACCTGCCCAATTTAACTTTTTTCAACAAACTTTTCTCAAAAACACGCAATTGCGAACCAAACGAAGCCCATGGGTAATCTTCAAATTCACTTGTTAGAAACGAAGTTGCAGTCAATTTTATGATAATGTTTTTCAGTAATGATTGAAGGTAATCACAAATACTGAAATACCCCACATCACGGGTCAACATGAAAGACATTGGAAAATTCTGAACGCTAAGGATTGCTTAAACACAAGTAGGTAATCAACTCTTTTGAACTATGCATTTGATCTCATTGGAGCAGTCTTTATTGCCCATTTTCTTCCTTGCTTTACTATCTCTCTCAATCTTCTTGAAATCATCTACTGCAGGTGATACCATAACTACAAGCCGACCTGTGAAACACCCTGAGACTATCGTTTCTGCTGGTGGAATATTTGAACTTGGATTCTTCTCTCCGAAAAACAATTCCAATTACCACTTAGGAATATGGTATAAAGAAGTTTCTCCCCGTAGGGTTGTATGGGTTGCAAATAGAGACTACGCAATGTTAAACTCTTCTAGCCTGAGCATCATCTCTGATGGAAACATTGTGATTTTGGATGGCAGATTGTCTTACAGTGTGACAAACATTTCAGGTGGCAATAATGATTCCACTGCAAGGCTATTGGATACGGGGAATCTTATACTGGGAGGCAACAACTTGGAGGTACTTTGGCAAAGTTTTGACAATCCAACTGACACTCTTTTACCAGGAATGAAGCTTGGACATGATCCAGCGAGTAAAAAAACGTGGTCCTTATTATCTTGGCGAGGTGTACACGATCCTGCTCCCGGTGATTTCCGTCTGGAACTGAATGCCGGGCAATTGATTATCAAGCAAGATTCTAAGATATACTGGGAGGGTAGTAGACAGCATTTTAGCTTACAGAATGTCTCACTACGTCGTGAGTGGCCGGAGTATGCAGTTTTCAGTGAAATCAACACTTCTACAATTTCCCATATATTGTTAGACGAATCAGGGCAGCTTAAACTGCAGTCATGGACACCAGAAGCTCAACGATGGTTTTCTGATTATTCTTCCAAGTGTGGTTATGATGGTGGATGTGGAGCTTTTAGTATCTGCAATGAAAGTGCCGATATACCATGTCGCTGTTTGCGAGGTTTCGAATCTGAACAAGGTTCTTGGACGCAGGAATCTATGGAAGGGATGCTGGCCACTGAAGGCTGCAAGAGAAAAACTAAATTGCAGTGCAGGGACAATAGTCTTTCAGAGAAGGATGGCTTTATAAATATCTCTAACGTTGAGTTTCCTAGTAATGCAAAGACTTTAGATTTTCGGAGTGCCGAGGAGTGTAAATCAGCCAGCTTGGGCAATTGTTCTTGGAATGCCTACGCTTTTGATGAACGTGGGTGCTTGGTGTGGGATGATTTCTTTGATCTGACGAAACTTTTAGATGGTAATAGTAATAGAAGAACTTTTTATATCAAACTTGCTGCTTCTGAGTTGATTGCCAAGGGTAAGGACAATGTAAACTATCATCGGTTATTATTTATTTGTGTACTTGCTTTTGTAGTGTTTTCTTTCTCTCGTTTAGTATTATATTTTTCAGTTTTTCTGGAAAGCAACACCTGCCACTGCCGACTTTTCACCAATTTGTCAATCAATCTGTATCTTTTATGGCAAATATGTATACAATGTTTGTTCTAATCTGCCTTTTTACTTCTGATTTTGTAGACAAAAACTCGAGCAATGGAAGTTCAGGGCCGACGATGAATAAGGAAACAAAGAGGCAATTATGGATAACTGTTGCATTGATCATACCTCTGATAATGGTCACTTTGCTGGTTATTCTTTATTTGAGGTGTAAGTTCAAAAAGAAAGGTAAGACTTTCCCAAAGCATGATTCGAGCAGTGAACTGCCAGAACTACCTTAAAGCCTTATTTTCATTTTTCTTCACTCTTTAGGGGAGGATCTGATGCTTTTTGATTCGAGTGCGGGCCTAAAAGCTGATAATTTGGAGCTTACAGAAGCAAATAAGCTTGGAAAAAGTAGTAAAAAGGCAGTTCAATTGCCATTATTTAGTTTTGCGAGTGTTTCTGCAGCAACAGAGAATTTCTCTGCCAGAAATAAGCTTGGGGAGGGTGGTTTTGGACCTGTTTACAAGGTAAGATTTATATCGTCACAGCAATAACATTAGGCCAATTATTAGACTATCTTATAACAAGAACTACTATGTCAGGGGAAATTATTGAAAGGAGATGAAATAGCTGTGAAAAGGCTTTCAAGAAGTTCTGGACAAGGATGGGAAGAGTTAAAAAATGAAGCACAACTTATAGCCAAGCTCCAACACAACAATCTTGTTAGACTCTTGGGCTGCTGCATTGAGCAAGATGAGAAGATACTAGTCTATGAGTACATGCCTAATAAAAGCTTGGACTTCTTCCTCTTTGGTTTGTAAATCTCTCAGCTCGAAACATATATTTGATTTTCTGGTTCCCTTTTCAAGGGCTGCATTGATTTTTTTACTAACGTCTTCTACATTTGATATATATATCAGATCCACCAAAAAGCAAGTTATTAGATTGGGAGACACATGTTTATATCATCGAAGGGATAGCTCAAGGACTTCTTTATCTTCATCAATATTCCAGATTGAGAATTATCCACAGAGATTTGAAGGCTAGTAATATTTTGTTGGACATAGATATGAATCCTAAAATATCAGATTTTGGGATGGCAAGAATTTTTGGAGGGAACATGCTACAAGCAAACACTAATCGGATAGTTGGGACTTAGTAAGTAAATGAAGCATCTAAAGTGAAAACTCTCAAATATATGCCACATAAAAGCCACCTAATATATGCTATGCATAAATTTCATGACCATGGGTCTACTAATTATCTTGAAACAATATTTCAATTGCAGTGGATACATGTCCCCAGAATATGCGCTGGAAGGCTTATTCTCGATAAAATCTGATGTCTTCAGCTTTGGAGTATTGTTGCTTGAGATTGTGAGTGGCAAGAAGAACACTGGTTTTTATCAGACTGACTCACTCAATCTACTGGGTTATGTGAGTAAACATCCAATCACAAACTTTTGTTAATCATGTGATTTGATTTTCCCTTTGAACTGATACTATTGTAAATTTGTGTCTGTGGATGTTTAAGGCATGGGATATGTGGACAAGTGACAGGGGATTGGACTTAATGGATCCAGTATTAGAGGATGCTGCCTCCAAGCATATTCTGCTAAGATATGTTAACATTGGGCTGCTTTGTGTTCAAGAAAGTGCAGAAGATAGACCCTCCATTCTGATGTTGTCTCAATGCTTATTAACGAAAATACAGTGCTACCTTTTCCAAAACAACCTGCTTTTTCACATATAAGAAGCGGGGCAAATTTAAAGCCAGTTTTCGGCAAAAGAGAAAAATGTTCAGTCAATGATGTAACTGTTTCGATTTTGGAAGCCCGTTAACGTCTGAGGACTTCTCAAGGTAGTAATTAATTTCATCTCCTGAGTATATTTTGTGTAACTGGCTATTGGGAATGGGACAACAGTCAACAGGTTGAATTTGGGACATCTCACATTCACACTTCCAATTCCCAAGTTACTAGCCATTCTTCCATAAAAGAATACCAAACTAAGTTTCATATTGAATACTTCACTTATTAATCCAAAACTCCTTTCGTTCTGTTTCAGGTTATATAATAGTGTGCCGTGTAATCTTGAACTAAGTATTAGATGAACTGTAAAATTTAGATTTTAAACGTTTAGGTCTGCGACCTGGCAAAGGAAAGACAAAATGCTTGAACTGCTGGATAACCTATACAGAATTCATTTGTAAAACACGATATGCATAGATGCATATATTACTTTGTATTGAAAATAATGCAGCAGATCGACTAACTATAGACTCTATCATATTCATGCAGGGCGTTGAATCGTCTGCAGTTCCTGCACCCCAGAAACCTGTTAGGAGTAATATGTACATTACTTTTATAACTTAAGGGTATTTTGCTTTCTCTTTACTCTTTTGTATTCAGTCTTTTGTCAATTGCAATGTGAAAACGCTAGTCTCTCTTTCACACTTCTCTTTGAATCTCTGAATTCCATTGAATATACTAAAAAAACCCACCTTTTGATTAGGAAGAATTCGAAGAGAGACAGGTAACTGTAGAAATTGTTCAGCAAATGGTGTAACAATGTGTGTGGTCACGAGTTGATAAGAATTTTTTTTTATTTGTTTTTTACCTTGATGCACAAGGTGTTCCTCTGAGATCAAGGATAATCCTCCATGATTTAACTGAAATGAATTGAGTCCATATGTTTGACGAATCACATTAATGATATTCCTTGTACATAACATTATAAAGTACGAGTAGCCAGCTCTGTTTCAATGTGCATTGTCCCGAGCGCACTAGAAACTAAAACAAAGGACACATCTTGGTTATTGACTTGCAGATGTGCCACCAAAAACCATTAATTTTGCCCAGACACACAATCTGCTCCTTTTGTTTGTTGATTAGGAAAATCAAATCAAACCAGAGCATATCATTATTTTGGTATTCTCGGTTAGTATTACGTCTATGGAAGCTCACTAGAAGCTGCAGCTCTGTCCTTTTACTTTTTCAAAATAAATATTAGTGTATATTCCAACATTGACCAAAACAAAATTCTCATACCAGTAATGTGTAACAGACAACTTGTGGCACCCACAAAGCAAAAGTTTCGTTCGTATTGTTGACCATGAGAAATCACTTTTCATGCCAATTTTTCTGCTTTAGCTAGATCAATTTCAAAACGAACTGTAAGGGCAGTAAGGGGATAGCGTGTGCCGTGAAGGACCTTGTTCAACTATGCTTCAGCCTCCAAGAATGTCTTGATAGCCTTAAAAATCACAGCCGAAAATAATTTCCTTTCGTTATAGTCACCTTTGAGGTGTCTGCACAAATCTTTAATGGCTAATGCAAAGAATATGCCAAGTAGGAGAGTTTGTTCTTTAACCGTTTGCTTGCTGATATACTGTTTATTTGTCATGCAGTTCACCATTTTGTTTGTGGTGGATGCAGTCACAGATAACATTTCTGAAGCACAAGAGATTATAATTGTCGGGTTGTTTGTCTGCTTATAATGTTGTATACTTTTCTGTATTGTTGGTTGTATCTGACATGATCCCCAAAATACTTGATTTTGGCATGGCAAGAATGTTAGGTTTACAAGCAAATACTAATCAGATTGTTGGAACTTAGTAAGTGAATGTAGACTATTGAAAAGTAATTTAGCTGTTAAGGTCTCTGATTGTAGCCATGCAAGTATGAAGCATATGAAGGAATTCATGCAGCTTCATATATATAAGCAATGCAAAGGCCTGGCCTAATCTTTTGGATGTATAAATGATTATCACATTCACGGGTTACGATTCCCTAAAGAGTTCATTTAATCATCCTGGCTTCGAACGATCAAGGCAGCACATCAGTTTTTAGCTAATCCCTGAGCCTCTTTTTTTTTTCTTCTCGTCATTGTCTTGCCCTCTCTCCACTCTCCTCTTCCTTAATTTATTTTTTGCTTTTGGGTGTAACTCACCCACCAACCCACTTGACTTTATTTTATTTATTCTAGTTTGGCTTAACATGTGGGACGCACTAAGCGCTAGAAAGGGGAACATATTTTAGAATGGAGAAAAATGTTGTAAGGCGTACTCGGTTGTTAACTTTAGGATGATAGAGATTAGTTAAAGTATGCATAAATTAGTTTAGACACCACATAAAAAAAAAAAAAAAAAAAAAGCTATAAGGGACAAAGTTATAATCAAACACAAATAATTGTCGGGATTTGCGACTAAAATATAACTGTTATGCAACGGAAACATAAACTCTAACGCTAGCTTATTGAATATAATAATACAAGTAATAAAGCATAAATAAATTGTCAAAATTAAATGCAAAAATAAAGAATACCAGGAATTAACGAGGTTCGGTATTAAAACCTATGTCCTCGGGTGCTGCAAAAGAAAACTCCACTATCTCCAAAACATTACAAACTTTTGGGCAATACAACAAATACCCAAAACAAATGGGAGATACAATAAAACTTACAAACTAAAGGATCCTTAAAGAAAGAACCCTAAACAAAAGAAGTATAATGGAATTACAATTTGGGATGCCTAATAACAATGATATGAGTCCTTATATATAGGCCCCAAAAGTTTCTCACTTTTCAATCCTAATCAATGTGGGACAAACAACCTTTTCTTGACCTATTACATATAAGTCCCTAAACCTTTCTCCATTATTATTTATGCCCCATGTGATTTTGCTAAACGCCATTTTTCAACAATAACAACACATCAAGGTTAAAACTAACATGTGCTATATAAAATTAATGAATATTAATTACAAAATGAAAATTCTGACACCAGTAATGTGAAACAGACAACTTGTTGCACCCAAAGTATCTTTCCTGTTATTGATGCATTAGAAAAGTCGTTACTGGTGAGTAATTATGCTTTGGCGGCAATATAAAATAGATTTCCTAGTCCCATAAGCCGTGAAGGAACACATTCAATTACGCCACAGATAAAATAAATATTACATTTGGAAGTAACTAGTTATGGTTGCCTTGTATAGTTGGTGATCCGTTATAAGCACTCATTTTATTTTTAGTCTTCTGTGACTGTGACTGGTGTCCGCACAAATTGTTAATGGTCAATACAAAGAATATGTCAAGAAGGAGAGTTTCTGTAACCAATGGCTTGCTGAAATTCTCTTTCTTTGTCACCCAGTTCACCGTTGTGGTGGATGCTGCAGTTTCTGATAGCATCACACGAGGACAAGGGCTAAAAAGCCCAGAGACCATACTATCTGCAGGTAAAATTTTTGAGTTGGGCTTTTTTCCTTGAGATATTTTTAAATATGTGGGAATATGGTACAAGAATACTACGGAAAAAACTATAGTATGGGTTGCCAATCGAGATCAGCCCTTAACTGGTAAGTCAACCATACTTACCATCAACAGTGACGGAAGCCTTGTCATTGTGGATGACAAGATCAGTTACAGGGTGAGTGACAGAGTCTCAGGCCAAAATGCAAGTGCTATTCTCTCAGATTCAGGGAATTTTATTTTAAGAAATTGGAAAAGACATATTGTGGCAGAGTTTTGATTATACTTTGGATGCCTTTCTTCTTGGAATGGAGATTGGTTATTGCCGAAAAACAGGAAAAGTATGGTCATTAACATCATGGAAAGATGAAGAAGACCCTAGTGTTGCCGTTGCTGTAGTGAAAATGGATCCAAAGCAACCGAAGGAGCTTTATCTTATGAGGGGCTCTGAAATGCTGTGGAGGACGGGGGTTTGGCACGAAGGTGGATTCTCCACAATGTCTGAAACGGGAGTAATTGATTTCATCATTTTAAGTTTTTACAACACTGAAAATGAGACATACTTCGGCTCTTCTCCAAATGAATCTTCTGTTGGTTTTGAGCTGGAGAATTCTAAGGAAACTGCAGTGAAGTTAAATCACAAAACATAATACGTGAATAGTCTAATTTCATTAAGCAGCAAGGCAAAAAAATATACATGGTTCACAATACTGTTGCACCTACTCTGCAACAGGTTTTACAATAAAAAATCATCAGCCATACTTTGCTAACAACTACTAAGACATCACATTACAACATAAACACCCAATCAACATCAGATTTACAGCTGAATTTACCTAAGTTGTACATTACATTAATTAAAGAAATTCAGTTCCATTGTGTTACAGTAGAACCAAAACAGCAGCAGAACTTCAAATTTTGCCGCCAAGCTTGCAGCTCCAGATTCCAAAATGTGACCACCTTCATGAGTTTCCAGCATAGTATCATCATGATCAACACTCCTCCTTGATATTTATGCTGGAAACTCCAAGTTTAAGTCTGAATTCTTCAAACTTGGACTTATTCAATCCCTTGGTCATAATATCAGCAACTTGGTTCTCTCCCAAGCAATGAACCAAACTAATTTCTCTGTTTTGCTCAGCCTCTCTCACAGCATGGTATTTAATCTTGGTGTGTTTAGTTCGACCATGGGGAATAGGATTCCTAGCTTTTGCAATAGCTGACATGTTATCACAATAGATAGTAGTAGGCTCACCTTGGTTCAATCTCAAGTCCCCCAAAATCTTTCTCAACCAGATTGCCTAGTTTGTAGCAACAGCGGTAGAAATGTATTTTGCCTCAGCAGTAGATAGGGCTATTGTCTCTTGTTTTTTGGAAAGCCAACTGAAGGCACCATGATTGACAAAGAAAACATACCCAAAAGTACTTCTCATGTCGTCAACTGAGTCTGCCCAATCATTGTCTGAATAGCCAACTAAACTAAAATTTTCAGCCCTTCTAAACCAGATTCCCAACTTAGCAGTGCCCTTAATGTACTGTAGCACCCTCTTTGCAGCCTTGTAATGCACCTCACTTGGCTTGCTCATAAATCTGGATAGGAGGTTGGTGGTATACATCATATTAGGCTTGGTTGCTGCTTCTATAGACACCTTCCTCCACCTTCTTGGCACCATCTTCCTTGCTCAGCCTTTGGCTAGGAATCAGAAGGATATCAACTGGTTTACAATTATTCATATTGAACTTCATTAGCATACTTCTTTTGACACACAAATATACCATTTAAGCCTTGGTATATTTCCATGCCAAGAAAGTAGCTCATTTCACCCAAATCAATCATATTAAATTCCATCTCCATTGCCCTTTTAAATTCTCCCAACTGATTAAGGTTGCTTCCAGTGACCAGGAGGTCATCAACATATAGGGAGACTATTATCACTTCACCATTTTGTTCTCTTACATAAAGGGTGTGCTCATTTGGGCTTTTAACATATCCTAGCTTACACAAATGGTCATTGATTCTGTTGTACCAGGCTCTAGCGGCCTGTTTGAGGCCATACAGGGCCTTCTTGAGCAAATAAACCTTCTCCTCCTTTCCCTTAAATTCATACCCCTCTGGTTGCTCAATGTAGATTTCCTCATCAAGCCATCCATTGAGGAATGCAGACTTCACATCAAATTGGAAGATTTTCCACTTAAATTGAGCTACCAATGCAAGGAGAAGCCTAATGGTGTCATGTCTTGCCACAGGTGCAAAAGTTTCTGAAAAATCAATCCCAAATTGTTGTGCAAAGCCTTTGACAACAAGTCTAGCTTTGAGTTTATTCACATCCATCAGAGTTTAGCCTCTTTTTAAATATCCATTTTACTTGTATTACTTTCTTGTTCATATATGTCATGCAGAGACCTGGTGCCCCAGACAAGTATTTCATCCACTTCGTCTGGATTCAATTCTCCATTCTGGTTCTATGGATCTTTGTCATGCTGGATGCTTGTCCTTCTCTCAACTTGCTTTCTCTCCCAATTCCATGTAGCTCCTTTATCTACTTTGATATCCCTACTAATCACAATCCTTTTGGTGCTTGGATTGTAGATTATGTAGGCCTTGGACTAGACTGCTTACAACCATGCATTTTGAGACCACAAACTGCTGCTCAGTACTCTTTTGTGTCTGTTGGGAATTCTCCATTGATTGAACTTGCTGATCCTGCTGGTTCCCCATGTTCTTGCACATTCTTTCAATGTGCCCAAATTGTTTACAAGACCTACATTGTATGCTAGGACTGAACCAACATCTGTTTTCAGAGTGGTTCTTTTTCTTGCAATGAGGACAAGAAGAAAAGGTTCTTGTACCTGCATTCTTTCCTCCTTGGTTGTTAACTTTCTCTTTTCCCTTCTTCTCTTCAGCATACCTCCTGTTTTCACCTTGAAATCCCCTTTTTTTTGGCTTGCTAAATTAGCTCCCTTACTTAAATCTTCCTGCCTCAGCAGCCTCCTTTGCTCTTGTGCTTGAAGGGAATGCACAAGTTCAACTAGGCTGATTTGGGATAGGTCTTTGGAGTTTTTAAGTGAGGAGATCTTTGCTTCAAATCTCTTGGGTAGGCTGACCAAAACCTTCTCCACAATCCTCTGATCAGTCAACTCCTCACCAAGTAGCTTAATCTTATTCACCACATTCATTAGTCTATCCACATACTCCTTGACATTTTCAGTTTCTTGCATTTTGAGCATTTGAAACTCTCTTCTCAAGTTTAAGACCTGCATGTTTTTTGTTTGACTGCTTCCCCCAAACTCCTCCTTGAGCTTATCCCAAGCTTCTTTAAGAGTATCACATGCCATAATCCTGGAGAAAACCTGGTCAGTTACTGCTGAATGGATGCAAGAGAGTGATCTTGGAGCCTTTGCTACCTCTTCTTCATGAATCCTTATCTGATTCAGTGTTGGGTTTGCTCCAAGCTGAGGGATTTGTCTCTCTTCCTCCACATATTGCCATAAGGCATGGCCTCTCAAGTAAGTCTTCATTTTAACAGCCCAAACATAGTATTGCTCACCATTGAAGATAGGTGGAGAAAGAGGAGTTGGGTTTGTTGCCATGAAGAAGACCTTTAGGGGAGTTGAGCTCAGTCATGAGGTTGTGTTTTGGTCTTGAGACTCACGGTGGCTTTGATACCAAATGTTGGTTTTGAGCTGGAGAATTCTAAGGAAATTGTAGTGAAGTTAACTCACAAAACATAATACATGAATAGTCTAATTTCATTAAGCAGCAAGGCAAAAAAATATACATAGTTTACAATACTGTTGCACCAACCCTGCAGTAGGTTTTACAATAAAAAATCATCAACCATAATTTCCTAACAACTACTAACACATCACATTGCATAAACACCTAATCAACAATAGATTTATAGTTAAATTTACCTAAGTTGTACATTACATTAATTAAAGAAATTCAGTTCCATTGTGTTATAGTAGAACCAAAACAGGAGCAGAACTTCAAATTTTACCGCCAAGCTTGCAGCTCCAGATTCCAAAATGTGACCACCTTCATGAGTTTCCAGCATAATATCATCATGATCAACATCTTCTATCATGAGATATCAAATTGATAGTAAGTATGGAGCCTCAGACTAAAGGTATGGTTGAAAAGTATTGATGGCTAGTTTGATTACTAGGTTGAACCAACTGAATGTGCTGCTTCGTTGGTCCCTTTAGTATCTGTCCTGAGATATTTTTATGCAGCTGTCAGTGCCTACATGGTTTTATACCCTAAAAAAACTGGAAAAAGCAAGATATATCAGGTGGTTGTTTGAGAAGAACACCATTACAGTGTAAGGATAGCAATTCTTCTAATGGTAAAAAAGACATGTTCTGGAGGATGAATGATGTAAGATTTCCCTTAAGACTAGAAGAATCAACTGGTCTGAATGCAAAGGAATGTAAATTGGCTTGCTCAAATAACTGTTCCTGCACTGGGTATNTGACCTCAACCTCACGGGATCACACCCTATTTTCATGACGGTAGATTTTTTGTATCTACAGTGGCCTAAAAAGGCCATATCGATGCCCTATCAGCCTGATCCAGCCGCAATGCGTCGTAACGCCCTTTCCCAGCAGGTTTCCGACGATGGTGGCCGAGATCTGGGAGGTTAGGTAGGTAGGGGTGTATTTATCAAATTTTTAAATCTTTTGTTGGTCTATTAAACGATCGTAATAAAAGGAACTTCGTTTACACAGGGTCGCTTAAGCGATCATAGATATCGCCCATTGACAGGTTTTGCACAATCCTTCACCTTGGTCAATTTCGGGTAAGTTATGGACAAGGTTTTTGTGTTTGAGTTCCTGGAGGGCATGATAATGGAAACGTCCAAATCTCCTATGCCACAACTCTGAATCATCTATCCTAGCTGAGTGGTTTTGAAAGACAACTTTTCCCCATTCTAGAGAGAAACTTTTTCCTTGCATCTTAACCTTTATCAATTCAATCCCATCACCCTCTAAGATAACACAAGTAAAGTCCTTGAAATGCAGAGAACAATTTTTCTCTAGCATTTGTCCTACACTAAGTAGGCTTAAACTAATTTTAGGCACAAACAAAACATATGCTATATGTTTAATACCTGTCTTGGTTTGGACAACTATGTCACCTTTGCCTTTCACCTCCAGCAGCTCACCATTTCCCACCTTCACTTTGGATTGATAGCCCTGATCCAAGTTCACAAAATTGCTGGCATTTGGCGTCGTATGGTTGGTGTAGCCACTATCAATCAACCACACATCAGGGCTACTTGCAACCATGCATTCCGAGACCACAAACAGCTACTCAAAACTCTCTTGTGTTTGTTGGGAATTCTCCACTGCTTGAGCTTGTTGATCCTGTTGGTTCCTCTTATTCTTGCACACTCTTTCAATGTGCCCAAATTGTTTACAAGACCTGTATTGTATGCCAGGCCTGAACCAACATCTGTTTTCAGAGTGGTTCTTTTTCTTGCAATGAAGACAAGGAGAGAAAGTTCTTGTACCTGCATTCTTTCTTCCTTGGTTGTTAACTTTCCCTTTTTCGTTCTTCTCTCCAACATACCTCCTACTTTCAACTTGAAATCCCTTCTTTTTTTGGCTTACAAACATAGATCCCTCACTTAAATCTTCCTACCTCAGCAGCCTCCTTTGCTGTTGTACTTGAAAGGAATGCACAAATTCGGCTAGGCTAATCTAGGACAAGTCTTTGGAGTCTTCAAGTGAAGAGATTTTTGCTTCAAATCTCTTGGGTAGGCCAACCAAAACCTTCTCCACAATCCTCTGATCAGTCAACTCTTCACCAAGTAGCTTAATCTTGTTCACCACATTCATTAATCTATCCACATACTCTTTGACATTTTTAGTTTCTTGCATTTTGAGCATTTCAAACTCTCTTATCAAGATTAAGACCTGCATGTTTCTGGTTTGACTACTTCCCCCAAACTCCTAAAAAAGCTTGGGCTCCTCATTCAGCTTATCCCAAGCTTCTTTAGGAGTATCACATGCCATTATCCTGGAGAAAACCTGGTCAGTTATTGTTGAATGGATGTAAGAGAGTGCTCTTGGAGCCTTGGCTACCTCTTATTCACGAATCCTTATCTGATTTAGTGTTAGGTTTGCTCCAAGCTAAGGGATTTGTCTCTCTTCCTCCACATACTGCCATAAGGAATGGCCTTTCAAGTAAGCCTTCATTTTGATAGCCTAAACATGGTACTCCTCACCATTGAAGATAGGTGGAGAAAGAGGTGTTGGACTTGTTGCCATGAAGAAGATCTTTAAGGAGTTGCATTGAGTTATGTTTTGGTCTTGAGGCTCATGGTGGCTCTGATACCAAATGAAGGTTTTTAGCTAGAGAATTCTAAGGAAAACTACAATAAAGTTAACTCACAACAACATAATTTGTTAATGGTTTGAATTCATTAAGCAGCAAGGCAAAAATATACATGGTTTTCAATACTGTTGCACCTACTCTGCAGTAGGTTTTACAATAAAAAATCATCAGCCATACTTTGCTAACAACTACAAACACATCACATTACACAAACACCTAATCAATAACAGATTTATAGCTGAATTTACCTAAGGTGTACATTATATTAATTAAAGAAATTCAGTTCCATTGTGTTATAGCAGAACAAAAACAACAATAGAAGTTCAAATT